AGGGCTTTTTCCGCCTGGTGGAACATACTCCCTATTGTGATCAGGGCCCTGCGGGATCTTGCTCAGTTCCACAGGGCCTGCAAGACGGAGCTCTTCTGCCAGGTCTTTGACTGAGGCAGAGGGTGTCTACAAATCCCCCCCCCCCCAGGTTGCGGTCTCCGGGTTCCACAAATCCCCCCCCCCCCGAGGTTGCGGTCTCCCACCTTCTGATAACCGGCCTTACCTAGTTACATCAGTGGACCGGATTCTCCCTACGGCAAGCGTGACTATTGATTTTAGATGTTTTGATGTGTTTTAAATGTTATTGTCTTTATAATCCTGCAGAGTGCAGGGGGTTGGACTAGATGACCTGCAAGGTACCTTCCAACTCTCACAGTCTATGACTCTGTGATTCTATTGAAATGTTATGACCGATGCTCCCTCTAAGCGGCGGAGTCTTGTGAGCAAAAATTCTGCTTTGTGAGCTACTGGCATTACAGTTGTGAGCCGCGAGTGATTTGGCTACTGCATGAATTAGTTTGCTCTGGAGCCCTCCTTCCTGAGCTCAGACAAAAATGTGTGAGCCGGAGGCTAAGAAATTGTGAGCTAGCTCACACTCGCTCAGCTTAGAGGGATCAATGTTCTAAGCTGGTTGTGACCTGCCTGGAGCCCGTTTACGGCATCCCTCTAAGCTGCGGAGTCTTGGGAGCAAAAATTCTACTTTGTGATTTACTGGCATTAAACTTGGCTCACACTCGCTCAGCCTAGAGGGAGCACTGGTTGTGACCTCAATGTTCTAAGCTGGTTGTGACCTGCCTGGAGCCCGTTTACGGCATCCCTCTAAGCTGCGGAGTCTTGGGAGCAAAAATTCTACTTTGTGAGCTACTGGCCATTAAAGTTGGCTGCTGCGTAAATCACTTTGCTCTGGAGCCCTCCTTCCTGAGCAGAGACAAAATGTGTGCGCCGGAGGCTAAAAACTGTGAGCTAGCTCACACTTGCTCAGCTTAGAGGGGACAATGCTCCCTCTAGACTGTGGAGTCCTGGGAGCAAAAATTCTACTTTGTGAGCTACTGGCCATTAAAGTTGGCTGCTGCGTAAATCACTTTGCTCTGGAGCCCTCCTTCCTGGGCGGAGACAAAAATGTGTGAGCCGGAGGCTAATCAACTGTGAATCAGCTCACACGCACTCAGCTTAGAGGGAACACTGGGTGTGACCCGCCCGGAGCCCGTTTACGGCATGGGCAGGATATCAATGCGGGAAATAAAATAAATAGAAAAGCCCCCTTTTAAAGTACAGCCGCGGGCAGGCGACTGGGACGCCAGTGCTTCATTTCCCCGAAAGAGAGGAAAGGGGGGAAAAATCCGGGAACCTCTTCTGCTGGCGAGGCGGCCTGTCCTGGCAGACCCTCCGAAGCCCAGCCCACCCTCCATTGGAGAGAGGGGAAATGCAGGAGAAGGCCCTGGCTTCTGGAACCTTCACACGTCCTTGGGCGTGTGTGTGTGTGTCTGTGTGAGTGAGAGAGAGAGAGAGAGCTGGGTGGCAAGAAACTGTCGGCCATGTCTGCCTACGCCTCTCCTCCCTGCAGCAGTAGCAGGGTGTCAGAGCTCCCGGCCCCGCCAGACTGCAGCACCGGCCTCTCCCTGCTGCCCGGTGAGCCGCTGTCTGTGTGGGGAGGGGAAGGGGAGGAGGCGAAGGAGAAGATCGGGTGACTTCTGCCTCCCTTCCCGGGCTCTCCCTCCCGGTGTTCGCGGGCTGCCTTGGTATAAATAGAACCTGCCACTCACTCGCGCTGCAGCGGCTCCGGCGGGGAAGGAAGACTCCATTTTGTGGCAGGACGTGCCGAGGAGGGAGGGGGGGCGCTGCCCGGAAGGCTCAGCCGACTTGAACTCCTTGGCGAGGGCGCCCTAGTTGTGAGCTCGGGGGGGGGGAATCATAAGAAGATAAGAGAACCTAAGAGAAGCCAATGCTGGATCAGGTCAATGGCCCATCCCGT